AAGCTTGATCCTGACATAGTCAAGGTATGATCCAAACATGATTTTGTGTTTAAAAGTGTGTGTGTGTGTGTGTGTGTGTGTGTGTGTGTGTGTGTGGTTGTGTTCGTGTGTGTGTATTTGTGTGTATGTATTTGTGTGTGTATTTGTGTGTGTGTGTGTGTGTGTGTGTGTGTGTGTGTGTGCGCGGGCGCGCGAGAGAGCCTTTAAACGCAGAACAGCATAGGCTAAAACATAAATGCAAAAAAGCATCTGATAAGCTATGTAATTCAAATATATAACAGTAAAATAACTTCAATGTTAAAGTACAAATCTAAATATACAAGCCAAACACTGTAAAACAAGTCATCTGTTTAATGGAGTTTTACAATATTTTACAGATGTTTCAGGGAACTGAAATACAATCTACAGTTTGTCCAAAAAACCATGAATACACAGAGGAAAAAAGTTTCTTCTCTTTGGCCATTTCAATGGATTCTTCTCTGGTTTCTTCCCAATGTAATTCTATTGATGTGGTAAGTATTATGATTTAACAAATATGACAATTTACAGATTATTTTTAAAAGTATGTCCAGACTGAGTATAACAGGAGCCCACATATTGGTAACTGGATTTTATATATATATTAATGCTGTCAAAATTAATGTGTTAACGCATGCGATTAATTTTAAATAATTAACGCATTTAAAAAAATTAACTCAATTAACGCAGTTGCAGGTTTTTTTTTACTTCCTGTTGTGGTGGACGTGTGTTCAACATGCAATAAATGTGGATAAGATCAAGGAAGCACTTTTTGAAGGCAAGTTTCAGTATAAAACAATTAGTCGCATCACCAGGGGCCTCATGTATCAACGCTGCGTACGCCAGGTTTCACGCTCAGAATCGCTCACGTTTGGATTTACTAACAATGAACTGAAGGTGGGAATGTGCGCAGCTTCACGGCAGCTTTCTGGCAGGCGTACGCACATTTTTTGTGCGTGTCTGTTTTATTTCCATTGGTGACTCCTAGAGGCAGTTGTGTTAAATTCCTCTCTACAAAGTGTCTGATCCTTGCAATGGCAGCTGTATGAGACGGGTTCATCTAGCAGGTATTTAAGGTTTCCATATCATACAGTTGACCAGCCAAACATTAAAGCACAATTTGCAGCGGTCGCCTGTTTCCCCAATGTAATCTGAGCGATGTACTGCACGCACATTGCTATAAAGACACTCTCTGAAGATGAATTTGCATACGTGAATCAGAAACATTTCCATTCAATAAATGTGCAAATAAAATATGATGCACAAACTTATTAATGATTCCTACTTGTCTTTCTCGTGATAAATAGTGGGCAAAATCTGATATGTAGCGGGGGAAAAAAGAGGAAAGAGTTCATCAGACGCTGGAATCGAACCGAGTTCATGATCGAAACGCGTCAAAATACGTTGACATGCATTTTACGAGTAGCGCCACAGAGACTGTTAAGGATACTGCAACATTTTACACCTATAAACCACACTATTTCTGTTCTAATTCACTCAGTGCGATGTTCAGACCCAACTGTGTTAACCGCATCAGCTAAACTCTCCCACTCTATTTTTTTCTTTTGTTGTTAATTCCGGAGAACAAACTTGCAAATAACACCGCTTTTCTCCGTTCTACCTCTGAAAGCAGCACCTTCAATTCACATTCTGTTCAAAGTTTCTCCTCTTGCCTGCTTTTGCTGTTGCTTTTTCGTTGGGTTTTGCCATTAGCATAGTCATTAGCATATTCATACGGGGGAGGAGGCAGGGAGGGGTTTTGTGCTCGTGCATGTTGCGCTCAGTTTCACGTTCATTCAGATGTACAAAAGAATATGCGTGAGATTCGGCGTACGCAGTGTTTCATACATCTGAACTTTTATCTGCACATTTACAGCTTTGCGTACGCAATGTTTTAGTATGATTTCCACGCAAGTCGTCGTACATGAGGCCCCAGGCGCTCCAGAGTTTCATGCAATTTCGGGTGTTTCATTTTTAACTTTCGACTTCTGTTGTAAGTTGATACCGCATGGCGAACAGAAAGAAAATCCTCCGCGTTTTGTGACTCAGTGTTCCTGTAAGGAAGTTTCAGTATTTTAAATGTGATTAATCACGATAATTTTTTTTTAAAAGGTGCGATTAATTAGTTAATTTTTTTAATCAATTGACAGCACTAATATATATATATATATATATATATATATATATATATATATATATATATATATATATATATATATATATATATAGTTGAAGTCTGAAGAATTTTTTTTCTACCTGTTTTAATATTTCCCAGATGATGTTGAACAGATTGAGAAAATGTTCACAGTGTTTCCTCTAATGTTTGTTCTTCTGGAGAAAGTTTTATTTGTTTTATTTCGGCTAGAATAAAAGCAGTTTTTAATTGTTTTAAACCCATTTTAAGGTCAATATTATTAGCCTCTTTAAGCTATGTTTTTCTCGATTGTCTCCAGAACAAACCACTGTTATACAATAACTTGCCTAATGACCCTAACTTTACCCTAATTACCCTAGTGAAGCCTTTACATGTCACTTTAAGCTGTATAGAAGTGTCTTGAAGAATATCTAGTCTAATATTATTTACTGTCATTATGACAAAGAGAAAACAAATCACTTCAGAGGGCTAATAATTCTGATTTCAACTGTATATATAATCCCACGTATACTGTTTATACTTAATTTTAATTCTCTGCAATGCACTTATTCTGAATCCAACTATCTCTCCAATCTTATATGCTCTAATGAAGGTAACTCTGCTTCTCTGTTCTCACTATACAAGTCTTTCACTAACCCCCAGACTCACTACCATCTCACCTCCACTCAGCAGCTTTCTGTAATTCAATCATGACCTTTTTTTAATGAATAAATCTTTAATATTCACCAGCATCTTGGCTCACAATCCTTTCTGAGCATCACAACTTAACTTTACAATTCAAAGTTTTATTCTCCTCTTTTCAACTCCCTAAAAATTCAGAAATTTCTAATCTTATTTCCAAATCTAAGTTATCTTCCTCTCATTTAGATCCTCTCCCCACTGTTCTGGTTAAAGCCCGTCTCCCTTCTCTCATCCCTCTCATTTCAGCCATTATTCACTCTTCTCTTTCTACTGGAACTGTTCCTGCTTCTTTCAAAACTGCAGCAATTACTCCAATACTCAAAAAACCTGGTTCAGACCTATCTAATTTTAATAATTTATGACCTATTTCTAATCTACCATTTATTTCTCAAATCTTTGAAAAAATAGTAGCAACACAACTCCAATCCCACTTGTCTCAGAACAACCTGTATGAACAGTTCCAGTCTGGTTTCCGCCCACTCCACAGCACAGAAACTGCCCTGATTAAAATCACCAATGACCTTCTCATGGCCGCTGATTCTGGACTAATGTCTATTCTCATTCTCCTAGACTTGAGTGCGGCCTTTGACACTATTCATCACTATTCATGCCACTGCTGTTCTCGTTCATAGCCTTGTCACGTCTCGTTTAGATTACTGCAACTCTCTTCTCTTTGGTCTCACTCATAAATCTCTCCATAAGCTTCAGTTGGTCCAGAACTCAGCTGTCCGTATCATCACCAGGACCCCTTCTTCTCATCACATCACCCCTGTCCTGCAGCAGCTTCACTGGTTACCTGTTCATTTTCCAATTGACTTTAAAATCTTAATGTTAACATCCACAGCCATCCACAATCTCGCCCTTCCATATTTTTCTGCCCTCATCCACATTTCTGTTCCTTCTCGCACCCTGCGATCTTCTTCCTCCCTCCACTTGTCTGTTTCCTCTTCTCGCCTTTCAACAATGGACAACAGAGCATTCAGCTCTGCTCCGCGGCTTTGGAACTCATTACCACCTGCATCAGAAACACTGACTCCCTTACACTGTTCAAATCAAGACTCAAAACCCACTTATTTAAGATGGCTTTTAATACTTCATGAATTAATTTTATCTGCACTATTGCTGTGTATATTTTATTATTTCTCTTGTTGTTTTATTGCTCTTGTTGATTGTACGGTGTCCTTGAGTTGCCAGAAAGGCGCCTTAAAATAAAATTTATTATTATTATTATTATTATTATTATTATTATTATTAGGCTGACAGGAATTTTTGCATTTATCATGTTTCTTTATTTTTTTTTTACATTTCAGCAAAAGAGTTTTGATGCACGGTTTGAAAAAGTGTCCATGACAGATGACAATCGATTGTACTGTGAAATTTGCAAAAAGCAGACTTATATGGATGTGGTGAGGTTTCAATTTTGTAATTTTTTTATACTTACACATATTAAACATGTTTGTTACACAAATAATGTTAATGGAAATAAGTAAACCAAAAGACATGATGTTTGTCCAGAAAAACAGTGCCACTAAATGTAAGATGCTGCCATTATTCTAAATAACACTTTATTTATTTCAGGAGTGCACCATATCTGAATTGCCAGACATCCTAACTCTACAACTGAAGAGGTTTGAGTTTGATTACAGCTATAGGACTTACATGAAGAACGAGCGTCGAGCTGAAATTCCTTTCCGGTTAACAGTAAAGGTGTGAATAATTCGTCTCTCAGATAGCTTTAATTCTCTTTAAAGCTACTCTTATATTTTTATTTCTGACTTCCAGAGAGAAGACAGGTAAGTGTAATAAAGGACCAATATACAATTTTAGGTTGGTCAGTTTAACTTGTCAATTTTGAATTGACAGCATTATTTAAAGGTTGTCGGGAATTTATACTGGGCCTGTGGAGGAATTCTCTATGCTTGTTATTTATATTTTTACTTTTTTATTTATGTTCAGGCTTGTTATGGATGCACAGAAAAGAAAACACAGTAAATTAAACCTGATGCAGCTTTTTTGGCATGAAAAGGATTCACAGAACATAAGTCATTTGTTTACATTTAAACTTGTTTTTGTTTTTGTAATTATATGTTTTTCCACTCTAATATTTTCTGGGAGTGCTGCTGCGCATTTATTTGTTTAAAAATAAGTTATTTTAGTCAGGCATGTGCAGTGTATACAGTTGAAGTCAGAATTATTAGCCCCTCTGAATTATTCGCCCCCTGTTTATTTTTTCCCCATTTTCTGTTTAACAGAGAGCAGATTTCTTCAAAACATTTCTGCACATAACAGTGTTAATAACTCATCTTTAATAACTGATTTATTTTCTCTGTGTCATGATGACAGTAAATAATATTAGACTAGATATTCTTCAAGACACTTCTATACAGCTTAAAGTGACATGTAAAGGCTTCACTAGGGTAATTAGGGTAACTAGGCAGGTTAGGGTAATTAGGCAAGTTATTGTATAATGATGGTTTGTTCTGGAGACTATCTACAAAAATAAAGCTTAAAGGGACTAACAATATTGAGCTTAAAATGCTGTTTAAACAATTAAAAACTGCTTTTATTCTAGCCCAAATAAAACAAATAAAACTTTCTCCAGAAGAACAAATATTATCAGACATCATTTGGAAAATATTTAAACAAGAAAAAAAATTCAAAGGGGGCGAATAATTCTGACTTTAACTGTATGTTGGGAATGTTTATATATTGTACATTTAATGATTATTCATGTCTTTTTCAGGATGAGAGTGGTGTTGTTTATCAGTATGATCTGTATGCTTTGGTCAATCATGTTGGTTCTCTCAGTGGTGGACACTACTATGCTCATATCAAGTCATTTGAGGATCAGCAGTGGTATGAGTTTAATGACTCCAGTGTGCACAGGGTGGGTTTTCCTCTTTTTCATATATACTGTAAATATACAACTAAAGGTATTATCTTGGATAGAACTCAGAAACTTGTTCTTTGTGATAAAGATTTTTGTATAATTATAGTTTTTGTATTTTACTTCATTTGATATTTTTTCCTTCATTGTATTCATTTTGTAGTGCTTTTGTTATTTGTATACACCCAGAGTCTGAGAGTAACATCATTTCAAGTCTTTGTATATCTGTACATGTGGCAGAATTGACTTCAATTTCACTTTCAGCCTTTTATTATTTTATGTTTTGCAGATTCGGTTTGATGAAAGGTAAGTTATCAATCACTTATTTTAATATGGTTTATTGCATCTTTTAATGCATTTAATTTTCTTTCCACTAGACAACTGCCAACCCACCTTATCTCTGAGACAGCATGTTTACTTTTCTTCAAGAAACGTAAGTAGAGATGAAAACTTTGTTGATCAGATATCTGTTAATTAAGGCAAACATTCATAACTGTTTATATATGTATATATGTATGTGTGTATGTATGTATGTATGTAAATTAGGAGTATATTACATATATAAGACCCATAAGCCATGGCTCACTGTAATTATTTTAGCATTGTTAGATGTAGAGCAGAGGACCTATAATCTTTTAAGCTGTTATGAATTTATTGCAATCCACAGGCGTATTGCTTTTGTAAAATGTTCACAGATTTCAACAAAGCAAATAAAACTTATTTCTTTAGCTCAATACTGGTCGAATGTTTGCCAAGAAACAGTCACAGCCATGTGTTTGTAGAGTAACAATGCCTTTACACCACACTGGAATATTGTAAAAAGCATTCACATCCTCATACAACTTGAGGTTTAATTTATAAACTGGGAAAGCTACAATTTGTAGCATGTGAACAATGCATGTGGAATCAGATAAAAACAAAGGCACTTCCAGTGATAAAATGTGATTTTAAATATTGTCCTGGTTTTTACCTTTTCCAGTTTAGATGTTTTCATACAAAAGTAATATGAACATAAATAAAGGCAGCAGAGTTTAGAAACATAATTGTCTTCCTTATTTGTTGCCTTGAACTCAAGTGTCTACTAAATGAGTAAAATGTAAATGTAATGCAAATGTAATCCTCAGAACAAGGACAGGAACAGTCCACTACTGTGACAACAGCTTCCCTGGTGGCAACAGGTAGAAAATGTAAAAAGCCTGTGAATAGATTAAATCTACATGATCTATTTTCTGGTAAACATTTTAAGTTGTTGTTCTTTTTTATTTATTGTGTTTGACATTAGGGGAATATAAACATCATCAATATGAGCACACAGACGCTTTCAGTGAACCACAGCAGAACACAGCAGGACCAGAAGCTGATATTAAGGCTGAGAGTCTTAAAGAGATATCAGAGGGTCAAACATGTGCCACTAACATAAACACTGACTCAAAAATAGACAAACACTCTTCAGCAAAAATAAGAGGTATGCTTTAATACAGATATTTACCGATAAAGCCTCATTTTTAAGATCTCACATCTCCTTGACCACTTTGAACATCTGTCTGTTCTCATCTTTTTTTCTTGATTCTAGTTTGCTTTTTAACCGCATCCACCAAAGAAATCTTGTACATAAATATATAAAACCATCCCTTATTTTCTTGTTCAGCACTTAAAAAGCAAATCAATTATATCTTCAGATTTATGTGTTGTATTAAACAGCAACAGTACAGATTTATTTATTAATGCACTTCTTAACAATAAAGTGACACGTTATTTGTCACTTAAACATTTGCTTAAATAACATTGCATGTCAAAGTCAGTTTATATCGTCTGTAAACTTTTGAAAATTCTTGCTTAATTTATGTTATTCTTGCATCTTTTTTAGGTTCAGAAATTATAGAGACTACTCTCTCAGTAAGAACACAGCAACAGAGAAAGCAAGGTAAAGGGGGAGGAGATATACAAAGAGCAAACTCATTGCCCAGTATGTATAAAAGTCTCAAAAAATGTCCTAAAAACTGTCTTTAACTTAACTAAAAGGGAAAAATGCTAAGTAAAAGTACATTTTATAGAAGGACAACAATGATGCCAACCTAAAATGCCCATCCAAAACCTGCGATTTGAGCCAATAAAGAGCCTGCAAGCCTGAAGTCACATCTTCTTTTAATCTTTTACATTTCGCATTATTTGCAAAAACATTACATATAGGTACATGCCTAATTATAAATTAGTTACATTACATTGTAACAATATACAGTTGATTATACTCACAAATTGACAACATTCAAAATATCCCAAAACAGCTGCCTCAAAAAATAATTGGGTTGGGAACCATTAAATAACGGGACATGATAAAAGGCAAAATTCTGTACAATTTTTATAAGCAAATTAAATTGCTACAAATTGATATGAGTGTAAAAGCAGCACTTTCTCAAGGAATGGCAGCATAGAAAGAAAGACACTTATACATTTGATTTTAGGCTTACTGAAACAATTTTACAATAAATGTCTGCTTCCATAAGGTCAACATCCAAAATTGCATCAGAAAGGTTGGCATCCTCTGTCTGAGATTGTGGAGAAAAGCACATTTCTGGATAAGAGCCACTATTCCATTCCAGGCAGTGCAGAAGCACCAGACACAGCCATGTGCAAACTGAAGGAGGAACAGAGGTGGTAAAATAAACAAAATAACTTATTCTTATAACATCACCCAATAAATGTTAATTCTGTCATCATTTACTCTCCTTCAAGTGGTTCTGAACCTGTTTGTGTTTCTTATTCCGTGAAAAGTACTAAAAACTGTAACCTCTTCTTCGGCCTTTGTCCCATATGGTTGCGGGGTCGGCTCTTTTTGAACAAGTCCTCTATTTTAGACTTGTCCATATAACAACTTTTTTTTACACCTTCCTGCCGGCCTGTCATATGGGCCTGCCACACTCATACACTATAGACAGTTTAGCCTACCCAATTCACCTGCAGCATGTGTTTGGACTGTGGGGAAAAGTGGAGCACCCGGAAGAAACCCACGCGAATGCAGGGAGAACATGCAAACTCCACACATAAATGCCAACTGAACCGAGGTTCGAACCAGCAACCTTCTTGCTGTGAGGCGACAGTACTACGTACTGCGCCACTGCTTTGCCCAATAAAAACCTGTAACCATTACTATTTTTTTTTAACCTTGGAAGTCAATGGTTACCGGTTGTCAGCCTTCCAAAAAATATTTTCTTTTGTGTTCAACAGAATAAAAAAACTCAAAAATAATCAGAACACGTAAAGGCTTAGCAAATGATTTTAAAAATATATATATTTTTTATTGAACTGTCTCTTAAACATTTATAACATTTGATGGATGTTAAAATAAATGCACATCATGTTTTCACTCTGTGATATTTTCATCATGTGAACAGTGTGGATGATGCTGGAGATGCTCCATTTGACTCTTCTTCTGCTGTACAAGACGTCTCCTCTTCACCTTTACAGGAGATCACTAGCAGAGCGGCACCTGCGGATGACATTTTGTGTCTTAAAATACAAAAACTCAAAGCAAAAATTGAGTTACTGGATATTAAGAAGGAATATTATGCACAAAAACTGAAAAAACTGACCAACAGTTAATGATTTTCTGTGTGAAAATGAAATGAAAAATTTGTCATATTGTCCATCTGAAAATAAAGTAAACTGTGGGCAAATAAAATAAAGTTTACAAATTGTTTGTTGTTGCGTATTGTCAAGACCAAATAGAATCTAGGGACCAAAATTTAAATCTGAAAATCATAACACATACTCACAAACAACAATATGTCCACTAGAAGACAGACAAAATATTGCATTGCATATTCTATTGTAAACACACTTAAACATTAAACTAAATAGATTAAAGGTCTCAACAATATGTGTAAATCTGCATTTTTTTATGGGTTCTGATTTAATGTGGGCCAAATAAATAAAATAAATAAAAAAACACCCACATTATATAATATATTGTAAAGCTCATCCATTCGTGGAAATCACAGTCAACCAATGGTATTGTCAAAAAGGATCTCTATTTTCATCTTCAAGCTCTCCTGAAACACCAATGAAATTGAGACTGAAGCAAACCCCTCAGAAACCAAAACAGATCTACACCAAACACCAAATTAGAGTAAACAAAATAAGTTAATTGTTAAGTTTTATTTCTCAAGTGTAGTTTAACGGAGAGAAGTTTGTCATTTAAACATAACAGTTTTAATAACTAATTTCTAATTATATATGTTTTTTATTTGTGTAATGATAACAGCACAATGTTTGACTTGTTATTTTGCAAGACATTAGTATTCAGCTTGAAGTAACATTTAAAGGCTTAACTAAGTTAATTAGGGTAATTAGAAAAGTTACTGGATAACGTTCGAGGTTACTAAAGTAACCCTTCGTTCCCTTTCGGGGGGAACTTCTGCACTATAAGTGGATTTGATGTTCTAAATCCACGTATGGGAGCCCATTGAAAGCGCCATAATGACTGCACCTTACCAACACCCACCATGAGAGAGCGGTCAGGCAAGCGTGACGCACCCAAATCATGAGAGGCGCGGTCCTCCAACGTGCCCTTGGCCCTAACTTATCCCACTTCAAAAGAAGCTTTACGGAATAGGTATATTTTTTTGGGAGTCGCTAGCGTCTAGATAATTCTAGGAATATACGACAGTACGTTGGGAAGCGTGCCATCCCAGTAGGGAGGACGCTGCGGAGATCATCCGCACCCAATAGGGAGACAAATGGAATTACATATGGACTAACCCTGAGAAGGGGGAGTCCGCATAAGAAGTCGGTTAGCGGATAGGGAAAGCACTGGTCCACCCAGGGGGGGGAACTTAACCGTGGCGGAAAGCATATGGGGATCACCAGCGGGGATTGGCCATAGCAGGCACCTGTACCCAAAAACGCAGGCTGACCAGCGGGCAGACCTAACGTAGTGGGCCAGCAAGTGACTCCTCCGCTGAGTCAGTGCTGGGGGCCTCGGAGGAATCTGCAGGGCTCACCGAAAGGGGAACTTTACTGACAGACAGGAGGGTGCACATCTCTCCGTGTTAGGGAAAAAAGGCACCGCAAGCGTGCTACAACACCCCACCGAGTTGTTTCCTCAATCACTAAAGGTCCCTAACACCCTTGAGGAAACCGGCTCCACTCGCAGATTATAAAACCTTGCAAATGTGTTGGGTGTCGCCCAGCCCGCAGCTCTACAAATGTCTGTTAAAGAAGCACCACGCGCACACGCCCAAGAGGATGCAACGCTCCGAGTGGAGTGCGCACGCAATCCTGGGTGACGCGGCTGGCCTCTGCTTAAATAAGCACATGAAATAGCCTCCACAATCCAGTGGGATAATCGTTGTTTCGATACGGCACTTCCCTGCTGCCGTCCGCCATAACAGACAAAGAGCTGCTCAGAAGATCTAAAATTCTGAGTACGGTCCACATAAATGCGCAGAGCGCGACTGGACAAAGTAAGGACAGGGCTGGGTCTGCCTCCTCCGGGGGCAGCGCTTGCAGGGTTACTACCTGATCTCTAAGGGGAGTGGTAGGAACTTTAGGCACATAACCCGGATGGGGTCTCAGAATAACGTGAGAAAATCCCGGCCCGAATTCCAGGCACGAGTCACTGACCGAAAATGCCTCCAGGTCCCCGACCCTCTTAATGGAGGCCAACGCGACCAGCAGAGCTGTCTTCAGGGACAGAAATCTTAAGGATACTGTATTGAGTGGCTCGAAGGGATCAAATCGCAGGCTCGTGAGAACGAGGGCGAGATCCCAAGAGGGCGTGAGAGGGGGGCGAGTTGGATTAATTCGCCTAGCGCTTCTGAGGAACCGGATGATGAGGTTATGCTTTCGCACGGTGCCGCCAGCCACCGCGTCATGGTGAGCGGAGATGGCGGCAACGTAACCTTGAGAGTGGAGGGCGACAGCCTGCTATCCAGCTTCTCTTGAAGGAAAGAGAGCACAACACTAATCTGGCAGTTTCGGGGGTCTTCTCTGCGAGAGACACACCATTCAGTGAATAGACTCCACTTCAGGGGGTAGGCGCGCCTCGTAGAGGGGGCTCTAGCCTGAGTGATGGTATCAACCACCGCGGGCGGCAGGTTACCTAAGTCTTCCTCGCGTCTATGGACCACACGTGAAGGTTCCAGAGATCGGGGCGAGGGTGCCAGATGGTGCCTTGTCCATGAGAAAGTAGGTCCTCTCTTAAAGGGATCTGCCATGGGAGGGCCGTCGCGAGGAGGGAGAGCTCTGATATCCAGGTCCGGTTGGGCCAGAGGGGCGCAACTAACAGAACCTGCTCCTCGTCCTCCCTGACCTTGCACAGTAACTGCGCGATCAGTCTCACTGGGGGAAACGCATATGCGTATGCCCCGAGGCCAGCTGTGGGCCAGTGCATCCGTGCCGAGAGAGCCCTCGGTCAGGGAATAAAACAACTGGCAATGAGCGTTCTCGGAGGAAGCAACAGATCGATCGCCTCCCGAATCGCGCCCATATCAGCTGAACAGACTCGGGGTGGAGTCTCCATTCTCCAGAGTGAAACTGCTGCTGTGAGAGCACATCGGCTGCACGGTTGAGCATACCTGGGATATGAATGGCGCGCAGCGACTTCAGCCACGGGTGACTCCAGAGGAGCAGACGGCGGGCGAGCTGAGACATGTGGCGAGAGCGCATACCCCCCATGCGGTTTATATATGCTGCCGCCGCCGTACTGTCCGTCCTGACCAGCACGTGTTGTTGCTCCAACACCGGAGAAAAACGGTGGAGAGCGAGGAACACTGCCAACAGCTCTAGGCGATTGATATGCCAATGCAGCTGGGCACCTACCCACAGGCCCGCAGCTGCATGCCCACGACACACGGCTCCCCAGCCTGAGCTGGAAGCATCTGTTGAGACAACAACAAGACTGGACGCCTGTCCCAGAGGCACACCGGCCTGCAGGAACGAGGGGTCGTTCCAGGGGCTGAGGGTGCGGCGACACAGTGCAGTAACAGAGACTCGGTGTATGCCCGCATGCCATGCGCGTCTTGGAACTCGACCTTGAAGCCAGTGCTGAAGTGGTCTCAAATGGAGCAGTCCGAGCGGCGTGACAGCCGCAGCAGAAGCCATATGCCCCAGGAGCCTCTGAAAATATTTCAGGGGGACCACTATTTTGCTGTTGAGCTCCCTCAGACAGTTCAGCAGCAGGCGAGCGCGCTCTCCGGAGAGGCGCGCTACCATGGTGACCGAGTCCAGCTCCATTCCGAGAAAAGAGATCCTCTGCAACCTTTCCCAGTTGACCTGCAACCCCAGTAGGCGGAGATGCCGGAGCACCTCGTCTCTGTGCGCAGTCAATTGCTCCCGAGAGTGGGCTAAAATCAGCCAATCGTCAAGATAATTGAGTACGCGGATGTCCGCGAGCCGAAGGGGCGCTAGGGCACCCTCCGCGAGTTTGGTGAAGACCCGCGGAGACAGAGAGGGCCCGAAGGGGAGGACCTTGTACTGCCATGCTCGACCTTCGAACGCAAACCGCAGAAACTGACGGTGGCGTGGAAGAATGGAGACATGAAAATACGCGTCCTTCAGGTCTATGGCTGCAAACCAATCCTGAGGGCGGACGCATCAGAGGATGCCCTTCTGCGTAAGCATTCTGAACGACAGCTTGTGAAGGCAGCGGTTTAAAACGCGCAGATCTAGGATTGGCCATGACCCACCGCTCTTTTTGGGTACGATGAAGTACGGGCTGTAAACCCACTCTCCATCTCGGCTGGAGGTACCGGCTCGATTGCACCCTTCGCCAGGAGGGCAGCAATCTCCTCTCGCAAGACAGGGGCGGACAGGGGATTGACCCTGGTAAAACACACGCCCGTGAACTTGGGAGGCCGTTTCGAGAACTGAAGTTCGTAGCCGAGTCTGATTGTGCGTATGAGCCACCGCGAGGGGCTGGCCCGCGCTAACCAGGCAGGCAGAGCCCTCGCTAATGACGTCATCGCAGCAATCGCTGACGTACCCGCGGAGGGGCAGCGCGGAGCGGGTGTGCTGATCCGGGGAGCGCGAGGGTCTGAGCTGGAGAAGAGCGATTCGCTCTGGCTCCGCACCCTGACTCCGGAAAAGGGGCTTGGGGGCTGGGAGAGGGGAGACCGTCCCCCCAGCACCCGTGAGCCGCTGACGGAGCATGTAGACCCTGCGAGCTGAGAGGCGGCGCGTCCCCAACTGGCAGGGCTTGCAGTGCTCGTGAGCCACTGGCGGAGCGCACCTAACCTGCGAGCTAGAGAGCACAGTGTCTCAGACTGGCAGATTTCGGGCTGACACATCCGGGGAAGTGAAAAAGTGCCCTTTCATTTCATGGCAGTAAAAGGTGCCGTTGGAAATGGCGCCCCGCCCTCCAGCAGGGAAGAGCAAGTTCCCTCTTCTCCAGATGACCTGTCCCAGGGACGCTTCGCGGTCCGTTGCCGGACTTAGCGGCGTTCTGGGCAGGGGAAGCTGCCTGCTTCCGAGGTGCTCGACGCGCTCGCTTCGCCAGAGGTGTGTGCGGGGGCGGTGCAGCTCTTGTAGGTGGGCGCCTTCGGCGAGGAGCAGGTATGGATGGCACGGCGGGCGGAGCGGGCTTACGGATCCGCCGATAAGACATCACCCATCAGACTGCTCTCACACTGCCTCGAATTCCTGGGTGAATTCGCAGACAGTGTCGCCGACCAGCTTGGGATA